CAGACAACCTCTCGTCAATATGCGTTTTTCGCATTGCATTGCTGCAAAAAACGCATAAAAACTGGAGACAGGAACTCGAGGAACTGCCTCTCCTTTCCAATGCATCACCCTCTTCCCTCCGGAATGCAGGTGAATTAGCTAACTGACAATGGATCTACGCCACGTAGCCCTTAAATCCATCTATCCTGACCCCCTTTTATTCCCTCGAATGGAACCCACAGCACACCATCTCCTCTTCCCACCTGTCACAATTCGAACTCTCGCCACTTGCCATGGACCGAAACATTCCTATTCAGGTTTTTTAATCCGTTTTATCTTATTCACCCCCTTTTTTTCCCTTTTAAACCTTACTTTTTACATAAATACACATCATCTAAAATTAAAATTACAGTGGAGAAGTCCTGTCCGCCATTGCTAGAAAAAATTTCTCGCAGATCGTGTATGACGCCAGTTGAACCAAGTTTTGGTAACTGCCAGCTCATCCACTAGTGATCTCTGTGTTTTCCTCTACCGCAGCAAATAAAGAAGGGCCCGGAATTTGGAACATAATAAAAAGAAAGTAAACCTGGAATTCCCAGGATATTCTTCACATCATCAACAACATCTGCTGTGGCTGTAGCCGTTAATCCAATCAACGGAACACTCGGAAATTGGCGCTTTAAAATATTCAAAAATTTGAAATCAGGTCGAAAATCATGTCCCCACTGCGAACAGCAATGCACCTCATCAACTGCAACCAGCTGAAATCCAGTGAAAAAATTTCAGCAACTTAGAAATATCGTTATCTGACAGAGCCAAGTGCCAACAACCACAGTCAGAATTAAACTGAACAAAACAGTGATCACAGGCGGATCCAGGACGGCCTTCTTGGGGAGGGAGGTGGGGGGGGAGGGTGGCGGGTGAGGGGAGGAGAGGGGAGGAGGGACTGGGTCTATCAGCGGGACGATGAGCGGGGGAAGGGCAGGGGGAGAGGGAGATGAGACTCTAGAAGAGAGGGCAACGATGAGTGCGGAAAAGAGTTTTCTTCAGTTTCAGCTTTAGACATTGACTTTGTAGCATTGGTACCTGTGCTACTGGAAAGAGGGGAAAGGGGAATGCCTATCATTTCCCTCCCCCCGCTCTCCCCTTTCTAGATCAGTCTATAACAGTGATACAAAAATTAGTAAAGAAACGTGTAAAATAACCAGCATCCAGATTCTCCCTCGTCCCTCCTAGGATCTTCAGTGAGTCACATTTGATTATAAACAAAAAAAAAAAAACAAACAAACAAACAACATCTTCATGTGATAAAAAAAAAATTCGTTAACTCACTTTCAGCCTTTGCAATTCGTTACATTTTTCCAAACGATTCATAATTCGTTTGCTTTTGGCTAATTTTTCTGGGGTAACATAGAGCAGTCGCAACGGCGACTTCGCATCAGTGAGTGCTGTTTGTATTCGGCTTACCTAAAAATTTATTCACGTTGCCAGATAAATATTCAAATGAAATCATCGGAATGGAAGGAATCATGCTAAGTTTCGTAGTAATAATAGTAATAATAATAATAGTAATAATAATAATAATAATAATAATAAAAATAATAATAACAATAACAACAATAACAATAATAATGACAATAATAATGATAATAATAATAACAATAATAATAGCAATAATAATAATAATAATTCAAGAGTATCTCTGCCAACAAAAATCTCCGTGCTTTAGGTAACTCTCCTGCATATTTCTTCTTAGAAGCGATGTTCGTTTTTTTGGGCTTTCTAAGTGATGTCCTAAATGTTTCAGAAATTTTAAAGATGCAAACAATGAACATCCCTGGCTAGGAGATTGGAAGAGGACGGAGGACCTAAAATACCACATATTCGGTGAACAGAATGTTATGTATTTGATACTTCTGTGTTCAAAAAAAGCGAAATTATGGAAAAAAAAACATTAAGATGACCATCAGGCGATACAGCTTCGATCAATAGCAACCTACAGGGGACTAACAGCCATGTCAAAAACACGATATCTGCACTACGATGAAGCCGATCAAAGCATCACATCGGGTCAAGCCGATAAGAAACTAGACATATATCATCTAGAGTCCCAAAGTAACCATGCAAGATCTGACCAGCTGTCAGACTCGTCCAAAAAACTACATTTTAATAAACAGATATTTGTGTTTTGCGCTTTTCCCCTCAAAAACTCGACTACTTTATTTTATTACCTCCTCTTTTGCAGTAGATTGATTCAGAGTTGCCGCCTCGATTCCCAGTTTTTTGAGCTGGAAGAGCTGATCTTCAACAAGAGCCACCAACGGTGATACAACCAAAACAATACCTGTAAAATCGGCACCTGGATTAATAATCGAATGCAAAATACTGATTTCCAAAGATCATTGCGATTGCGCAAAAGTGCAGAACGAAAAAAAATCGTCAAGATTCCCGGAA